GAAGACGAGGAAGAGGTTCGAGACGAAGAACAGCACGACGGCGGGCGTCCACGCGCGGAACGGCGCGCGCCACGCCTCGTCCGCTGCGTGCCCGAGGGCGGCGAGGGCACCGCGGACTGGCGCAGGCGCACGCAGGAGCAGCAGCCCGGCAGAGACGAACGTGTTGATGAGTGTCAGCGGGTATGTCGTCACTGGCGGGCGGGTTAGCGAGCGAGCGAGACAGAGGGACGGGAGCGTACTGTTGAGCATGAGGAGGTACGCGTCGCCCGGGGGGACGACGAGCAACAGCGCGACGGTAACGAGCCACTGGGCGCCGAGGCCGGGGAGAGGCGCACCGAACGGCTTGGTGCTTGCGAAGAACGCGGAGAACGGCAGGATGCCCTCGCGTCCGAGCTCCTGGATGACTGCGAGGTGTAAGCGCGCAGCTGACGGCCTAGATGACAATTCGGTGCTCACCGCGCCCGTGCGTGAACAGCACGGTGAGGACGTTTGCAAGGGTGGACAGGGCAACGATGGCGCTGACGGCCTATGGGCGGGGTCATCAATGGTGTTGATATGCACGCGAACTACGCACTCTTTCTGCGCCGATACCCCATAGCTTGCCAAAGAAGAGTGCCGCTACGATCCGCCCGCTCCCCAATATCTCGCCCTTCGGGACGACAGCAAAGTAGGCTATATTGGCGAGGAGATATGCCACCGTCACCGACATCATCGCGAGCGGCGCAGCACGCTTCATCGTGCGGACGGGGTCGCGCACCTCCGACAACGCGTAGTTGGCGTTGGAGTAGCCTACGAAAGACCTACGCACTTTGGGGTCAGCAAGTACATTCGCTGCCGACAGATGCACGCGCGACAAAGCGCGGAGGATCGCTCACCAGACGACCGTAAACATGCCCATCACAAACGCGTTCGCTCCGTTCCGCCCGCTCCCCTCCCATATCTGGTCCCAATCAAAATTGTGCGGACGCTGTCCGCGTACTCAGCCGGGAGCTCCACTGCGGCCGAGACTGCACTCACATCTGTGAGCTCGAAACCCGGCAGCCGCGCGAGGACCGCGAGCCCACTCAGGCCGATTGCGGCGATTACGAGGAGCTTGAACGCGCCGAGCGTATTCTGCACACGGATGCCCCAGCGCGGAAACGCGCCATGCAAGACGAGCGCAAAAGTGATACAGAACACGCTTGCGAGGCGTGCGGCGCGCGGCGAGGGGGCGTGCGCAGGGTCTAGCGCATGCAGGACGTCTGTAAAGAGTGTGAGTTTAGGCCGGTCTACAACCGCCGAACGTAAGGTAGACGCGTACATTCGCCGAAGACGCTGCTGTTTGCGACTTCCCATCCCTAAGAGGTGTCAAGTGGGGAGCGACGACTTTGTCAAGGCGGCTTACGAGGAGGACCGCGTACGCGGCGTACACGCAGGAGGCGAAGAAGCGCGGGCGACGATAGATGAATTCGAGGTAGTTTTTCTCGCCACCGCTACGCGGGAGACCCTGGGGATGCTGTGGGCACGGCGGTGCGCTCGAAGAAAAAAGTAGTACGTACGGTTCCGAGCTCGATGTATACGGCCGTGCCGCATCCTGCGACGGTGGCTCCGATGAACCACAGCACGAATGAGAGCCCGACGCTGCCGGATGCACGGAGGATGACGCTAGGCGTTGCGAATATGCTGCGCAGAGTGTAATAAGTTCAGACAGACGCACGTGCAGTGTCTGTATGCTTCACCTTGTGCCAATGACACGGTTGAAAATCAGGAATGCCGTGCTCGTGAGCCCTGAAAAACAAAGATAAGGTCTCCCCGCGCGCACAACCTATTCCTGCAGCATACACGCACCTAGTCGTCGTGTTTCTGGGGGGACGTCGTCAAATTCCTCCCCACGTGCAGCGCCATCTTTCGCCGGGTATATGCTGGTCAGTTAGTGAACGCCGCCTGTTGAAGAACGACTTACCGTTGCTCGGTTCTTGCCCCCCGTCGAGGAGCGTCTGTCGCGCTCCGTCCCCTGGGCCGCCGAGGAGCGGCTCTGTCTCGCGCACGTATGCGTCTTGAGCCATACCGATTTCTTGGGGGTGCACTCTGTATGTGGATGGAGAAGACAAAGGGGAAGCGTGGGTGCGAGTTGCTCAGCCTGCACGTCGCGTCGCTGTTAGAGCGTGCGCATTGATTGCTCGGTTTACGATAGAGCGAGTCGCTATCTCGGGTTCTCGGGTTGTTGCGCAATTCGGGTGGGAATATCGTCAGTTGCGACGACTGACGACTGAGATCTCAGTCAAAATCTCGTCGGGGCAATCTGAACCGTCTGGAAAGGCCCCGGGCTGAGCCTTTTTTTTTTTTT